TAATCAGCTAAATGAATTATTCGCTTTCATAGTTATTCGAATACGAATCAACTTTTTGACAGATGTTTTTTCTCCAGTCACACCAAAACCATTAATCCACATTATAGAAATATGATTAAAGTTTTTTCAATTATTTTTGCATGGATTCCTCATTACTACAAGATTCTTATCTTGTTTTACTTGAAACTTACTTCAATTTATTTCAGATGTGTAAGGAGAGATGAAGGCCTACTTCAAAAGGTTGACATAAAATACTGCGAAAGAATGTGGCATTTTGCATGTAGACCGCTTCTCCTATTTTTTAAATAGTGTCATAGTTGATAAACGGTATAAACTTTTGGTCCTTTTTTGCTCAGGATTCCCAGTTCTATCACAATGACATCTGATCCAATGGCGCATTCACAACCAGTTGATCCGCGGACTAAGACATCCGAGGATCAAAATATGGCCGCTCTACTTGAAAGCTTAACTCCTTAATAGACACTGGGATCACGGCATCAGCGCCAGGGATCACGCGACGGACCTTCAAGTGGATCAACTTTGATTGTGAATGCGGTCAGTGGCTCCTCTAGCACAATGGATTGCTTCGAGGTGAAATGTCCACCACTGTCGTGTTTTCACTTGATGCCCTTTAAGAATATATGTGTGTAGCCGCAGTTATATATTATATTAAACACAATGAAATTATAGAAAACAGTAAATATTTGAGGGAGCCACAAATCAATGAAACGCTACCTGTACTTTGAATTGGTAAGAAAAGGGCAAATTGTTTTTTTTTTTTGTTATTTCGAAATATTCACTTCAAACAATTTAGTACGTTTTGATATCTATGATTTGGGTTTCGTTTGAATGGCTGCGCGAAAATGATTAAAGTGAAATATTGTTTCCATTAATAAATAGAAAAGGATGATGTCTTTAAAATTTTACAAATGCTCTAACACATCTATTTCTGAGTAAGTTGCAATGTCTTTGTAGGAAAGAAAAGCAGTTTTGATGATTTCATTCGCTGATATTTTTTTCATGAAAAATGATTACCTATGATATAACAGACTAAACGAAAAGCTTAAGTATGGCACCGTGAAAGGTGTTGATTTTTTTTCATTATTTATTGGGAACCCGTATATCCTTGTTCTCTGTCATGTTGTGGAATCGACCGTTTAAATTATGAAACACAGTGAATCATACAGCTAGTATCTGTGTCGTTAGATTAACAAGGCCTCTCTCCAAGCTCGTCCATGTGTCCTTAATTGTCGTAAAACTGAATGGCAAAACTGAGCAGGCAAAAGACATTTGAGAAGCTTGCATCTTCTGGTTTAAATTAAAGGGATAATAACTCTTCGTATGAGATCTATATTTCACAATAAAAACCTTGTGAATAACTCATAGAAATATAATATATTCTGTTTTACCACAAAAACAGCAGTTATAACTATTATTCTGATATCTGAACTTGTCTTTAGACCACGTGACCTCCATTGATGTCTATACTCTGTTAAAATCTCTTAAGAGATTTTAACAAAAAACCAAACTTTTTAGAAAAAAAACAGGGACTAACTATGAATGTAAAAATGGATTCATTAACCATTGGTAAGTATGGGAAAATTGATGTTTACTCCAGGAAAATTCATTTTTTGGCCAAAACAAAGAGTTATTATTGCTTTAATTAACTATAGGCAATGAAAAATGAGCATCTAGAGACAGACGTATTTACGAACTTCTTATTTATTGTGCCTTTTTTTTTACTACAATTGATATTATTATAATTATTATTATTGTTGTTGTTGTTGTCGTTGTTGTTGTTGCGGCTGTTATTGCATACTGACGCACACCTTGGGATAGACAGGTGGGGAAGACTTTTGTTATTCTTCAACGCTCTAATGTGACAAATTGGAGTAACTAATGCTGTTGTGGGTCTTAGAATTAAAATATCATAATCCAAATGCAGCTTACTTGAGTGATGAGAGACGCTGTGCACTTAATCGACCTTATCGGTCTGACTGACCTATGTTTTCACTTCGCCGACCTAGCTGTTCGTATCTTTATGTACAGCGTTTGTCACCATGCAATAAGCTGATTAAAATTTTGAAAAATGCCCAGTAAAATTATACTGTCTTTTCGCGTGTTTCTATCCACAACTAATGTTGTTCTATATTTTAAATATATATTGCCGAAGGCCTCAGTATGCACGTAAAACAACTGTGTAGATTTACACAAGTGACCCGCTTCAATGGAAGCCGATCTCGCTTGTACAGCGCAAGTAATTTCCTGCCAAGTAACGTATTCAACAAAATGTTTCCATTTTCCCACACCAAGAAGGCGTATCTAAACACACATTGCATCGGAAATACATAGGAAAAGAAAGTAACACAAAAATGCACTTTGTAGATACAGAAGGACATTCGAAACCTCTGTCTATACATGTTTGTTTAATCTGTGTCCGTTCCCTCAGTTAAAACTAAGGTTGTTCGTGACTGAATCACTGTTCAAACTATACTTATTTATTGCAATAATATATGAATCAACGTCATCCAAGGTAAAGGTATAATTAACACTATAAATGCCCCGATTGCTTAAACTTTGGCTTTAAGAGACTATCAATGCCATATTTTGGCTAAGTTGAGAAAGAGATGGCAAATTGATAATCTACATTCAAAAATATCATTATGTTGCGTATATAATCCCACAGATATTTAAGAAGAAGGGGTATTTCCAATGCACACTAGAGGGCTGATTGTGCGATCGCTTTGCTCTAACAAGTCCAAAATGAGACCGCCAGCCACATGACTAACGGTCAGTTCAGTTTTGACTCAAATTGGTAACACCATCCACGAAGTGCATGTATCTTCTACCAGAATCGCAGATAATGATGACACCCTGTAACTTTTGGCCTGAAGGAAGCAATTTAATCTGCACGCTTGCAGATGGCATGACATTTGCTCTGCAAGAGCTGGGCTTCGAGCTGATGTTATAATGCACGCTCGTTACGCAACCTGTCTTGGCTTGCCTGTCTGCTAAAAAAAGACACGTGGTTTGACAGGGTTCTCCAAAACAAAGTATACCGCATCTCACAATTCCGTACTGCAGTTTTAAGAAAAATGGGGGCAGTCACATCAGGTTACAGGGTGGGAAGGTCGATATGAGTCAAACAAGTAGCCCTGTAAAGTCAACAGGCAGAGCGACCACGCCTGTATATGGATGAACACTTATAGTGGGCCTATATATCATAAAAAAGATTTCGTCCTGCCGACTCGTTGAATTGAGCTCAAAAAGTTCAGTACAGATTACGAAAGGGCTGACAGCCAATACAATGTTTTTATTATTTTTTATTTAAGAAAAATGGATTTTTATCATATGTGTTACGTGGAACTCTGCAAAAGCATTGTATGTATAATGAACATTGAAAGAGTAAATGTGAATTTTAATAAATTACTTTCCGATTTTTAATCCATTATTTTATCTAGTAAAATATTAGATAATAGTAAAAGAAAATTATAACCGAGGCGTTTCTGTCCAAAGAATAAAAAAAAACAGATATTTTTAAATTAACAAAAAAAAACCTATTTTGTACAGCTACCGCGTTTAGCCTTATTCCGAAGTAGCAGGCTTTTCATAAGGGGCTGTTTTATCTGTCACAGAAAGACAAGTGATTAAGATCAGAACAGTTAATTATCTTGATTATGCAAACAATGGCCGGCCACGCAATCACCCTTCAGATTTCATCACAGGCTCACAGTGCAATTGTACCATCAGTGACCTAGAGACATATCTGTGAATACCTAGTGAAAAATAATTTATTCCCCTGGTAAAGGGCGTCCCCGTAGCAGCCCCTTGCATTGTTTCAGGCGCTTTTTTCTCGTTTGTCTTTTAGACTGCTTCCTTTTTGCACTCACATTGTAAAGGGACCGAAAATAAATGCGTCCAATGTAGCTACAGTAACTGACCTAGTAGATTTAGTGCATTGACATTACCATCGTTAAATGTTCTCAAATCAATGCCAGAACTATTCCAATTATAAAACCGCGTCATCTGGAACGCAAACAGTTGTATCAATAATGAAGCATTTAGGTTAATGATGCTAGTCTTCTGTCAAGGTTATGTGGTTGGTGTTAAAGACATGGAGGTGAATCACAGGCCCGACACCTTCACTAAGACGTTGTCTTTTCCCCTCATGCCCAGCTACTCCTCTTCCATCGATTTAAAAAACCACACCCGAACACGCTTGGGATTTACAGGGTACACGTACACACATTGGACAATAGAAGTGTCACCCCCTGAATCAGAGTAATCAAAGTTCTAATGCCTAGTCTACTTATAATGTGACTAATGAGTATAAAACCGCTGTACCATGGAATTAATTGTATTGTTGGTCTTTTTATGTTTAATGTTAATAAAGGCCCCTTTACACTGGATAGCGGCCTTTGTGCGACCATGAAACTGGCAACGCTGTGGTCTTAGAAAGGAGGCACAATCATCGCTTTGGATACAGAATGAATGCTCAAGATCGGCCAGTTGTCGGCACGTGAAATATCATATTTTATTTTACTTTCAAACGGGGCCGTACTGCGGGACGCAGAAAGGACGCCGTCCAGTGTAAAGAGGGCTTAAAATGATACCAGGAGCATATCCTTCCACAGTCATTTATCTCCCGCAAAGTATTGGTTCAGTAGTATTGTCCATTGTGTGCAGGTCTTTGTTCGGTATCTCCATGTGGTCATTACCCCTCTCTGTCCGCATTTCGATAATGTTACGATTTATGTTCTAAATATGCTGTTCTTGATACGAATTATCAACAAAAAAGCTTGATTAAATTGCAAAATATTTATTTGCTCGAGAATTGTTTAGAGCTGAAAAAGCAAAAAAATGTTCAATCTTCTGATTGTTACAAATTGCAATTTTACGTGTACGAAACGTTTACCTCCGCCGTTCATTAAGTATTAAAAACTGTAACGCAAACTGTTGGTGACACGCCTTCTTGAGTTAAACACATAAATTACGGTGATTTAGGGCCGATTTTCAGTTGAGAAGGTTCGAAGGGAAGACTTCATTCAACAGCTTATCTACGAGACCAAGATATCGGTGCCATTGTCGCTTCAGAGTTCCAGTATCCAATATGAAGACCGCTATCGTCTTACTCCTGGTTTGCCTTACAGTAGCAGGTAAGTCAAATGTAGCGATCGTCGTTGAATTGAAAAACCAATTTACCATTATAATTATTATCGTTATTATCATTATTATTATTATTGGACTTTTAAGTCTGCAACAGTTAATTAGCATTCACGGAATACGTAGGCTAAAACAGCTTTGGGTATTCAAATATGAGTAGATTCAGATATTGTACAAATGTACGGTATAAATTTAATCTGTGAAATAATGTGAAATTATGTACTTATGGAAATTTTTCTTATAATGTGTGAACCCAAATCTGTCAAGCACTCAATAATTGCTGTTTCACGCTCGGGATAGTAACTTTTATTGCCCATAACTAAATAGTCAATTAACTTATAAATTGGATAAATACTAATAGTATCTTTCCTTAGAAGTAAATCAACATACAATTTGCTGCATTTTTTAACGTTTGCTGAGTTTTTTTACTTACTTGTTTTTTTTCTTTTGGGACTATTGTTTTTAATATTTTTTAATTCTTATATTCATTATTTTTTATAATAGTAAATCATTTCACTTTTGGATTTAATTCAACGGCTACCTCGTAAATACATATTTTTTCAGTTTCTGCTATTCATATTTGAATAAGTGTTACACAAATGCGTTTTACTTCAGCCTTTGCCAAACCCGGTAGAAAGATACGCAGTCACGGCGAAAGTACCCACAGTACTCAGTCGCCGACTTCTGCTCCGAGCACGCCGTCACCAACTTCTGCTCCGAGCACGCCGTCACCAACTTCTGGTCCAAGCACGGACACCCCTGACGATGACGAACAATAGAAATCTTTTTCTTCTTTCTATTTTGTTTCGAAATCAGAGAATTTGAAAAAAAAAGCTAGATTCGCAATACAATTAACAATTATGAGAAAAGTGATAACAAGACTATAAAGACAGAATATGTGAGACGTTCTTTCCCATTTTGATGTTTTGCATTACATTTATTCTAAAATCAAAAAGTTGTCGATTACACTTGTAATACAAATCTACTAAAACATTCAGAGATATTTGATTCTTGAATGAAAGTGCAGTATTACATGATGCACACATGAAAATGACGGCATCCATCGTTGTCGTATTTCACACTGTAAGTTAACAAGATAGAAAGGATGTTTTAACACCGCTTGATTAGCACGCACACACACACACACACACAGTAGATTAATGATTCGATGTCGAATATTCTGAACTATCAATTCTGCTTAAAAACTGGTTTAGTGAGTTGGCATTTGTTAAGTGTCAAGCTGCTGCTTGTTGTGTAATCTACATGTTATGGAAATCCTATTGGACTGTAGGGAAGAGCTGTTGGTAGCAGGTTTTCAAAATTAGGCAATTCTACGAGATTCAGAACAGGACAGCGTCGTCCTGAGTCAACACTAATGTTATCTGTAGTTCAATGTCCAACTGAATACCTTGATTTTCTGCATGTTTCTATCTTATGAAAATTCAATAAATGTTGCACTTTCTTGCATTCTGTACTGAATCGTTTTAAGACCTGTAGATGGATTGAGGCAAGCCGGAGAGAGTCTCAAGTGTTGAAGAAATTGGGGAAATTTCAGTTTTTTCTATCAAGTTCAGAGATATATGCAAAGTTGTGCAGTTTATGCTTGTGCAATTTCGGGGCGATGGGCACGGTCTTTGGACGAGCTGCTGTCATATACAAGTGGTTTTGAAAACGGGACAAATATGTATTATGGCCATTTTCCACGATGGTTGCCAAAAGCATATCTGACCCTGTAAGACGTCCATGCAACCAAGTGTGCCATTACAATAGAAATTTCACGTACTGACAAAAGAAATTAATGATTCTGAACAGGTTTCATCAGATATTAAGTATGGTTGAACGTGTGTTTAACTTCTTAGATAAGATTAAAATATTGAGTGGGTTATGAAGGTACCCGATAAACAAAAGCGCTTAAGTATGTTCTACACAACATAATTGGCATTTTCTTACAGAGATATTCTTTGACAGAAATAAGGCGCAAATAAGCTTGTACGTTTGATCGATAAAAGAAAGAATATAACAATTTAAGCTATATTTACTTGCTACTGTAGAAACGCGGGTGTTTCAAATAAATTATTCATTAGGCATTATTTTGAACGTATATTCATGCAAGTCACGATTCACAACAACTATAATTATAATAATAATAATAATAATAATAATAAATTATATAAAGGGAGCTGTCAGAACAACTTCAACAAAACTCCGTATAGTTTCAACTCTCAGAAGTAAAAGTAAATAATCTCGAGCTCTAACTATCAGTCATGTGATCCCCGTCTACAACACAGGGCAGAAGAGAAGACAGGTCCATGAAGGATTATTCCAGAAAACAGACATTCAATTGCAAACGTTTGCAATTAAGGCGCCCACAAGACATCCAAAAAATACCAGTTATGTTCATTAACATATTTGTTACTTTAATGCAGAATCCGTTAAACGAAGGTTGATAAATTGATCGAAATGAATAAGCCCACCTAAATTTTGTCGTCAATTGTTCAGGCGCATTGCTACTACATGTAAGCGAAAGTGGATTTATAATCTGTCCATTACGATTTCATAAGAGAAAAATGCCAACAGGCTTACGCAGGAAAACATGTGCTGACAACTTTCAGCATAATAAGGAATGTTTTCAGAGAATGTACTTAATGTCTGGTAGACTAGTCTGGTACGTGATACATGTATCTTCTAACTTAAATTGATTGAGGGGATCGCGTTGATAGAGTATTAATGTGAAGACTGTTTCTGATGAATAACCGTGTCATTGTACAAATATGTCCCCAAACAAGAGAAATCCAAAGGTCCACTTATTCCCTGAGGTTGTATATTTGCATGTAATCTACCCAATTAACTTCATTTTTTATTTGTTCATGTATCTTGGTCAATCCGTCAAATGTAGTTTGATTGATTCGCAACGTTTTTAATGAACCAGGCTCTGTTATTACCCATCACCGGAGGAAGTTTCACCCACAGAAACCAGATTCCTAAAAGCCTGATGCAATTAGCTTCGTCAATTAGTAGTGCTTTATTATCAATAATACGGTTTTACCGGACACGGGGATAGATAATTAAATCGTTATTATATAAAAGACCAACACGACAGTGCTTTGGGAAGTAGTTTCAGCGATCACACTAGAGCTAGTGGCAGGATTAAAAACACATCGGAGCGTTTTTATTCGCGTGAAACATTCACAACGGACTGTAAAGTGTAATTGAGAGTTTAAAGCAGGTGGGTTCCTACCCATTGTAGATGTTCATGTTTATCAGTTGCTCTAGGAAAAAACTAACGTTGCTATAAAATGGCTATCGCTTTGTACAATTTGGGATAGGTGTGATAGTGATTTTTCTGGGAAGTAAATGCAAGAAAAGTGTTTTCTTCACGACAGATATATCGACACTTTAGATATATTATAGGCAATTTTGTCTTTCCATGTAAAGTAACAAGGGCCAAATTAAAAAATGATAATAATAATATTTTGGATGACTTAATTAAAGGATTTTTCAGACTTGTACACCATGGAGGCATGGGTCTTTTGCACCATTCTTGTCGTTGTCAGCACTGTTGATGGGTTTAGTGCCATTAGTTCAGGTACGTAGATATTAGTAATGGTTATCAACACACCTTCACACTGCGTTGATGTTGTAATTTTGCTTAGATTATTTAAGGAACGCTTATCTGTCAAATTTGTCAAAATTTAGAAGATGACATGATAAACGCGTGCACGGCTATGCGTGCGTGTTGACTTAATGTGCATCTGTAAAGAGTAGTATTTCAATGCCTTCAAATAAAAAAAAAACACCATCTACATAGTTCCTTTTACTAGACATAATTTTCTTAAGATCGTTATAAAATCATTCAATACTCCAGCTTATTAACAGTGTTTAAAACGTTAATTGTTATATATTTTATTATCAAATCATTGCTTTTGATTTATTTTAATTTCGAAGAAAAATTATAAATACCATAAGGTTTTTATCAATTCCAACACTGTCTCTGAAACAGGACAGTTGCCCGAAGGACCACTAAATGAAATGACACCCAACCACAACGTGCAGGACTTAGATGATGACGACATTCTGAACTCATCCCATCCACCATCAGCTTTAAACGAGACAACACCTTCACCAGAGAGCCTTCAAAGAGGTCCCAGTCCCGTGTCAACAGCGGTCCGGTCTGGTGCAATCGCAATCACTTCTCCATTCAACCAATCGGAAAGTCAACATTCGGGACCTGATATGCATGTTGGGGGAAGCCGTGTTCCAAATGGCTCTTTTGACCCGTTGCCCAGCGACCCGTATAGCACCAAAGGTACAGGAACCACTCCGTTATCGAGCGTTAATGTAAACGGCACAACTGAATATTACTGTCAGCCAGGATCGATTCCTTCCCTCAATGGCCAGCCAGAGCCTAAGTGGTCTTGCAAAAACCGTTGCACTGATGTAGCCAAGTTCGGCGCTAAGGCGAATGAACACCTGTGCTCCTGCGACGACCTTTGTCATATGTATGGGGACTGCTGTATAGATTTCGACCGTCACTGCTCTGAACTGTTGCAACCGTCGTTTGATGTGGGGGACCCTATGTGCGTGGACCGTAGACTGCTGTTTGGTGCGAAATGTGCAGAGGACTACCACGTGGGGACAGTGATAGAGGCTTGCTTATCTCCCAGCGAGAACAGCACAGATCTAACTTACAGGATCCCCGTTTACGACAACCGCACCGGGTTGCACTTCAAGAATGTTTTCTGTGCCGTGTGTAACCGGGCAAATAACGTGACGTTCTGGACTACCTCTTTCGAGTGCACAAACCGCACGGATATCAGGGCCAATCTTTCAAGACATAATTTTGCAGACGACTTACTGTCCCTCTGCCATCTCAGCGTCCGTTCCCCGCCGCCTTTCCCTGAGCGTCGTTGCCATGACCAAGCAAAGGGAACGTGTTCGTCAGCGTGCTCCTCAAACCCGGACCTTGTCGAAAACTGTCGGAAGTACACGAGACTCGTGAAGGACACACAACTTTCCCTGATCCCCGGTGAATACATATACAACAACCCGTATTGCGCTATGTGCAATGGGGCCCAATATGAATACATCCGTGAATGGCCTAAATCAAAGGACGAGCTATCTGCATTTGCTGAGGGGAGCATTATTCCAGGCTTTTCCTATACAATCTTAATGGATTTCAGTCCCAAGGGTGGACTTCATGTAGGGGTCGTTGAAGTCGATCTTAAAACCCAGACGCGCGAGGACAAGGGGACGTTTTCCTGTGACGTCAATACCGCCGTGACCTTGACCGCAAAAGGTGATGAACGCTGTCTGGCCTTGCAGTGCCCCAGGGAGTACGAGCTACGAGACAGGGATTGTGTGCCAAAGGCACGTCTGATTCGGATCAACGTGATATTTCTTGGAATAATCACGAGACCCCCATCTTCTACCTTCGATATGGAAGTTAGCGAAATGTTAGAGAAAATAGGAAGTCGACTGCAAAAGGTGATTGAAACTAGAATTGATGTCTATGGCAACGTGTCTTGGGTCTATGGAGATGACGACACTGGAAAAAGGGCATTCGAAGACATACCGTTCTCGATGTCATGTTCATTCCACGTGATGACACCGGATACTGGAAAAGACAAATTTTGCAATCAAATTCAAACCAATGGTAGCGTGCTTATGAACATTTATCTGGCAGCTAGCTCCGAGAATGCTAATCTCTTTGAAAACACATCTCTTGAAAACGTCAGTATTAATTGCACTGAAATTTACACCGACGCCGGAAACAAAGCACAAAATGATTTGAGTCAGGATGAAATGTGTCCAAAACTTTCACTAGATAACTCTGATTTTGCTCTTTGGCAGAACGGTTCTGCACTTTTATCAAACGGCTTGGTCTTACAGCCAGACGAATTTGTAGTAGAAAACAGCAGCTTGCTATTCTGTGCTGAAAAGCTTTTAAAATACAATCAAGGGACGCACCACCATGTAAATGGGACGTCATACAGAGGTCGGATTACTACAGAAAAGGGGATTCTTACCATCGTTTGTTTATGTGTATCCATGGCGAGTCTCCTTGGTAGAATTTGCTTGCAAGGAGTTGTGAAAACATTCCAAACTTTTCCAGGAAAACTTCAGTTTTGTCTCAGCCTGGCGATGTTCTTGTCCAAACTTTCGTTCCTCCTAGGTCCACCCTTAGTGGGTATTTATGAAGCGTGCGTCCCAATTGCCCTCCTGCTTCACTGGTCGACCTTGACCTCATTTTTCTGGATGAATGTCATCGCTATCGATATGTGGAGGCGTTTCCATGGCCAATCCTTAACATCCATAAATGGTCGAAGTCATAATGGTTTCAGGGCTGCTATATACGGAATTTACGCCCTTGGAATGCCTACTCTCATTGTAGTCTCGAGCGTGGTCTTTGATTTTGCCGACCTTGGCTTAGACAGCACTTTCCGTCCTGGTTTTGGATTGGGCCCGTGCTGGTTCACGCAAAAATACCCTTTAATCCTGTTTTTCGTTGCCCCTCTGGCTGTTATCATTGTAGTCAATGTCATCCTATATGTCTTGTGCTCCATATCGATATACAGTGCCATTAAAGATTCATCTAAAAAACTGAATAAGAATTCCTCGGGCCACAACTTCTGTATGTATGTGAAGCTGTTAGCTTTGACTGGCTCCACTTGGGCGCTAGGTCTTATTGCTGGAGGAACCCAAAACGAAATAGCCGAATACTTTTTCGCGGTATTGGCGGCATCGGACGGCTTCTTCGTCTTCTTGTCAACTGTCTGCACAAGGCTTGTTATCAGAGATCTGAAGAAGGTATATTGCCGACGTCTGAGTCAACGTGAGAGACGCAGAGGTGAAAACTGCGAAAGTCGTATGAGTCAATCGACTGATGGCGTTACATTGAGCACAAACCATAACCATTCACATGCCTCCAACACCAGCGTTCATGAAAAAGGCACCGAAACTGAAGTTAGCATTGCAACATCTCGCATCTAAAATGAAATTATAAGTACTGGAAAAGACTTATGTGTGCGATTTGCCATCACTCACAGTCATTGTTCGTAGATGCTTAAATGCCTGCAGACCGCTACACACACGCCTACAGTCTAGCAACACGATCGCGGTGGCGACACAAGTTAGAAGAGAGATATGTTTTGTTGTGACTTGAGGAAATGAAGTGAATCCAACCTCATATTCCACCTGTTTGTACTGGTATTATTTGTGAGCTTTACGCCCACATAAATATATATTGCAGTGTAATTATACGTCTATCCATATTTTTATTTTCATCTGTACAGGAACAAACAAAATTTTGAAAGGATATTCCTACACTGTATGGCGCTTGATAATTTAACTTATTACAGCTTACATCATGACAATAAAGAAATGTAGTGGAATATATTGTTCGTATGCTAGCTTTTGGCGCCTCGTACAGCAGTTAGGCTCTACCTCTCTCACCGGGAAGTTACGTCAACACCCAGAGCATGTACACCAAAGTTAGATGGACCGAATACAGTGGTGCCACCTATTGTCGGTATTGTTAAGTGCGCTGTGACGCAGTGGAGTGCTGTACACAGGAACCAAACTTTACTTTTAAATATAAAATTTTGTGAATGCAAGTTTTTTTCTGAAAATGTTCAAATAATGATGTACTGCTAATTGGGTAAGGTAATACGACTAGTTAAAGAAAAAGGCTTTTGCGCTAATTCAAATAAGGACGAGAAATTCGAAAGTTTTGGGATCCTTGTGCAAAACAGAATATATATATATGGTGTATACGAGGGGCCTGAGAGGTCTGATAATAATATGACAACCTTCTGAGCAGACGTTCCTTTTTTGGCCAAAGTCAGATGCTACCAGCAAGAAATCAAAAAAGGTTCAAAACCGACCAGTATCCAACAGACAAAAAATCAAAGCTTTCAAAAAGAAAAAGCCCCTTCAAACCGGCTAATTTCGGTCGTAGATTTTACCTGGTTCGGTGTTTGTTATCATGAGGTTTCTGGTGCACATTGGATCTGTCCACGTCCCTCAGTCAAAAAATTCTCACCGTTGGATTTAGTAACTGCAAGCCGTCGATGCGAGCGGCGCCTGCACGATCTTTCTAACAGAGCAGCATTAAAAAGCGACGCACAGCCACTGAGCACCGCCACCAATACAAAACTCAACTGAAAACAATGAAGACCGAAACACTCTGTTTCTCCGTCCGCCTTGCGGTAGCCGTAATAGTCGTAAATTGCCCCAAATAGATACTGCGCTCCCAGACCGCCAAATCCATTGCCCATAAGTATACAGCCCCAGTTGAGACCGAAATGTTTCACCCCAAATAGTTCACTGAGAATTGTCGGGGTGAGGCAGTACAAAGTGCCATTGGCCAAGCCAACTCCCAGTGTCATAATTACTAGCCAATAAAACTGATCTGCGTAAAATATGCTAATTATTAAGATTCCTGTCTGCATTATATTTGCTATTAAAAGAAATAAGACACGCGGGACCCGATTAACTAGTAAATCCGTGACGAAACCGATGATGAATTTTGAGACGGTCCCAATGGCAAAACTCAGGGTCGTGATAATAGTGCTGAATTTTTCAAAATGGAACGACTGTAAATAACTTGTAAGGTTCGCCTGTACCATGAGCTGCAGGCCGGCACAAAATATGAAATTCCAGAATAAATAATGAAAATCCCAATCCCGTAGAAGTGCAAGTCCCGTCTTGTCTACCGTTTCTGGCTCGGTACTTTTCGCTTCCGCTTCCAGGCTCGGTTTCGATTCCGTTTCATCATCTGCAGTTTCTGGTCGCTTCAGTTGCCAACTCAAACTTTTATCATCTCCTTTTCCTTCTCCATCTATAAGTCCACTACGATCATCTTCCTTTCCTCCTCCATGTTTAAATCCACCATGCACGTGATCCTCTCCCCCTATTTCCGTTTCCGGTGGGAAATTCCCTAGTGTCAGGACGCCCAAAATGCTAGCCACGCCAAATCCTATGGCTGAGAAAAGAAAAAAACCCGGTAAATCTTGTTCGTCTTCGTCGCCGTGTGTATGACCGTTCATGAAGAAAGCTCCGTAAATCGCAGAAACGGCAGCAGGTCCACCACTAAATGAGGCGTCTAGAATCCCTATGACGGTTCCTCGGTGCTTTTTGGAGAAATTGTTGATGTTCGTAATCATAGCGGCCATGTATGAGAATATTGCGCCAAATCCTGTTGAAAATAAGTTCAAAATCATGTAAGTGTTTATGGCGTCTGGAGAGAGAGGCCATTACGTCCACAAAAGTAAAACAAATGATGTATAGAAAAATATCAAAGGCGGTCAGATGATCGAACCATTGTAATTCACACATTTAATTTACATTGGCAGACTCTACAACAAACAAAGTTCCATTGAAAAAACATTACAAAAACTGATAAAAAAAGATTGAATCAATTTTTAGAGAGAAATCCTAACGTACAAATACGCAAATTGCCAACAGACTGCATCGTTAGTTATTGTATACTCCAATAATTTAAATTCCCCTGAAAGACTTACCAGCTAAAAGAAAGTAAATATAAAGTAGCCAATAAGAATGGATGTAGAATGCAACCATTTGGGTGGTCGACCATATTAAGGTGAAGGACCCAACTGTGAGAATAAGAGCTACGAATGAGGCCACACGTCCGCCAAATCGTTCCGCACAGTAACCAGCCGGAAATCCGACTGATATCCCTATGTTACCCATGGACGCCACCAAGTCCACTGCAATAAAAGAAGTGATTGAAATCCCATATCGTTTCAAAACTTCTAAAGCATTCGCCTTATTATAAGTATGGTAGTCGCCATCAGAGCAAAATCTAGCTTCTTGCGTTACTTAAAGGTGTTTTTCTGTCTTCTATTTCTTCTTCAATTACTTATTTGTTCAATTATTTATTTATTTTGACTTATCACTCTTTATCATTTAGAAGTTCTTTATTTATTGACATATATCCACATTAAATGTTCATCCATCATACCACTACCTTATACAAACACAGTGTGAACAGCTTTCTAAGCCACGAAGTGCCCAGATATTTAAAGTGTCAAAAACTGACAACAGTGAGAGCCTCAAAGACTTTTAGTCCCTGAACATTGTCAACTATTAAGCAAATAAATTTTTTACCAATTCATCCAAAAAATTTAATGCTAATGTAATGTGTTTTAGAAAATGTAAAAAAAATATTTAGGCTAATGTTTGCTTCAGAATAATACTTTTTGTATTATAAATGTACCATTCCACTTTTGGTTGTAAAATAAACATTATTTTTATAAACATAGGGTATCCAGGGAAACCTCCGAAGGAAACCTGGCGTTTGGCAACAAACTGATAACCTGCTCTCTAGTAAAAAAGATTGTTTTTGAGAAACTGTATGTTATACCCAGTACACCTGTTACATGGTGTGAATCATAGAGGTTTATGGGAGATATATCTCATTCTTCAAATCAATGATTAACCGACCACGCCATCGGCATATATTGTTCAGTGGAGGAGGTACCTCTCAGTACAACGAGGACTGATGATAAATATTGAGAATTATCTTCAACAATTATTAACCAACGCTGTGTCAACAACTATATCGCCTATCATGTCATCACTAGCGACTGCCAAACTACCCCATGTCCATAGGACAGATCCAACTCTGTGGCCTCTCTCGCCGAGTGCAATCAGCTTAACTACTTGACACTCTTCCCCTTGTTTCCAACATACTCGTATAATTACCGGTTTCTCTGTGGTTCACTCAACCCCGGGAGGAGGCGTGTCAGTCATTTGATCTGATTGCACTCGGCGAGAGGGACCGCGGAGTTGGATCGATTTACGTAGACCGATGGTGTCTGTGGGAATGAGACCAAAGATAGGTTGAAGGATGGTAAATAAGTGCCTAAACTGTCAGCTCAATTGGGAAATGTTGTCTCTGAATTGTAGGTTTTCATAATATATTCTTACAGATCTGATACATCTTCGGAAAGAAAAAAAATCGCTGTTTGTTTTAACTTTGTGACATTTGATTCCGTTGACTAAAAAAAAGCATATCAGTGTAAGTCCACTTAAATAATGATATTGCAACTATACGGCAAATCGTAAGAAATATCTATTGTGTCAAACCAATGGGCACTTTCGTGTTAATGAACTAACACAGGTTTTATTGCCTGATGTTGGCCAAACTATTTAAGTCATATAGTTGCCTCCACCTTTCGCCTAAGGCCAATTTCTGACTCTGAGCCTAAAAGAAAAGAGACACGTCACTGTGGGCTACCTCAATTATATAAAATATCACATTTTTGTATGAAATAAATTTAAACGCGAAAAACCGACAAGAAATTTAATTTGCTGTCGTGGAACATTAAGAGGGGTGCGTACTGCTATGCATATTTTACAAATTAGTGTTAATATTATTATTGATATATTTACCTTGCGATTGTTGTAAATCAAAGGTCTGCTTTACAGCCAATTGATAGGCATTGAAAGCGTAGATGGAGCCTGCAAACCCCATTCCAAGACAGCCTACAAAGAGTGCAAATATTCTGAGAACGACGACGACTCGGCCCATAGTGGTGCATTTCACTGACACCATGAAAGATAATTATATAGGAGCAACTTCAGTTAGAGAGTAACAAATCCCAACTGCGCGTGCGCTGGGCCAAGATAACGCAGAGTGATAAGGGCGACAATGATGATAGAAGCCCGAACAAGGGTGAAAATATCCTCATGACTAAACAACACAGCCAAGTTGGGTAAATCAGATTTGGAAATAAAAAATCGCCTCTACTACATCTACACACACTGGACAATAGAAGTGTCACCCCTACTGAACCACCAATACTTTAGGGGAGATAAATGACTGTGGAATGATATGCTCCTGGTATCATTTTATTAACATCAGATTTCACAAAAAGACCAACAATACAATTCCATGGTACAGCGGTTTTATACTCATTAGTCACATTATAAGTAGACCAGGCATTATAACTTTGATTACTCTGATTCAGGGGATGACACTTCTATTCTCCTGTGTGTGTGCATGTAGGTGCCTTCTTTATCCAGTGTTAAAACGTTAGCCATTTTATAGTACATTTAACCTGAGTCACTCTAAGCCCTTTCATCGCGGATAATACCCTGATAGCACATTTGTCTCATATGGTCGTTATATGCATATGTGCATTCAGGTACGGAGATATATTGCGCCTGAAACAATTGTACCTGAAATATGTCTCACAAATGCGTTTTAAATGCGGGGCTTTGGCCAGATGTGTGAGATGAGATATAGAGCAAGAGAGCTAGCACAATCATTTTGAAAGATCTAAATTGCAGCTGATATCCTAATCGACGCTGTCTTAATTTGCAAATCTAGGCAAATCTCGAATAGCTAAGAGTTCAAAAATAGGATGCGTTTTAAATATATATATATTTAAGTGTCTTGCAAATGAGAAACAAATGACATTTTCCATCGACATAAATTAATTCGCTTATCGATTTGACATATAAAACTATTTGAGGCTGTGTGTTCTTTCGTGTCAAATTTGTACCAAATGCAATTTTGTTGCATTATCTTTTAATACGTCGCGTAAGTGATATATTTTTCGTCCGATCGATCGCTCCATCAACCACAGTATCTATGCATCACAAAAACTGTCACCTTAGACTCCCTGGCATATGTTCAAAATTTAATTCAGAAATATGATTAAGTACAACACAGTTGAAATATTAAGGAGAAAATAAATAAACCAATTAACTAATAATTAAGCATGCCCTTACCAAGGCACGATGTGAAAACGGTCTCCGCGTATTTTTGTCTGTCTATACACCTGTAGGCCTACGCGGGGAAGGGGGAGGGGGCATGCAATTATCTCTAGATTGTATCTTAATTGTCTAAATTTTTGATAGATACATGCATTTATTAATTGATGAAAGCATGAAAGGCCGTAAACGGAAGCTACTATGCGCACCAGCACCCAAGCGCAGTCTAACTCACAGCGAGATAAGTGGAATGAGACGATATTCAAATGAGGCTATTATGTGCGTTGTGAAAGCCGTCAACAAGGGGTTACAAATATATCTACCTCGTCTCTACCAGGGACTTTTAGGTAGCACTGGGTTAAATTAAATACTGCATGAACGAAGCTTGGGCACTGACAATAGACAACACGCTGACGATACAAGAACGCTTCCATATAGGGCACCTAAAGCATTACTTTTGCCTAGCAGGTGACATAAGGATTGTGCCAAGTGTACTTGTGACTTTCAACTTGCTTATGAGTAACTGACAAGCAAATAAGTAGTGTTGGAATCGGAGACATTGGCTTTGGTAGTGACTGTGACAGGATCTTAACTGCTCAGTAACGGATGCGCCCACTTTCCTGGTACACGAGATTAGCCAGCGGTGCAACACGAGGGGAGAGCAGTGTGAACAGAAGAGATATCAAATCGTCGCATGCTCGTGAGTATTATAGCTTATATTTATATTACAGCTTATAGCCACGTGCACAGTTCACCCCTTGAGAACAAAATACCCTACCCTCTTCTTCCCTCTACCAGGGTGGCAGATAGGCCCCTATTATAGGGAAAAGTGAAAACACCTTAGATAGTCAGGTAGTCAAAGTCAGAGATAGTAAAATGACCGTCTATTTATCTAAAAACTTATCCTGTGAATATCATGTGAAAAGTCAATCTGGGTAACCCTCTTCCGGGGTCACAGATTTTTTCACTGGCTAATGTATGACAAACATCCCTGCGTTGGTGAAAATTTTAAGCGTACATTACATCCGAGGCCGGGTAGAGGGTAAAACACTGCCCAGTGTTGTTATAACCAGCATGCATGTAGGTCATGTATGCGTCCGATGTGTACCTTAATTCCATCTCTCACGACTCACAGTTGCAGTATGGCCAAGGAGATACATAAATTCCTCTGTATGACTAACTGGTGTGTCACTTCAATCTATCTTGGATCCTAGCTTCAATATAGGATTCATTCTACCAAGAGACTTGAGTTAAATTGAAGTTACCCATCACATAGCCATATGCACTGTGACTGTAGTATACATGTTTACATGTATCTGATGCTTAAATTCAATATAGAATTATTTATTCTACAAAGAGACTGGAGTTGTATGTATCACCCAGTCGTGCATAGCGTTCGTGTCACTTGTATTTTATAATGGGCTCGTTGACTCGTAGCGACCTGCACGCGTTGCATACCTGATAACTGCGGCACCCCACTGAAGCACAAAAAAGTTGCTACTGTTAAACATGACAGTTTTTGTAATATGGTGATGCACTGCTATCTCCGACTGACCGGCCGGGGTCATAATGCATCCCCCCCTCCAACCCCGTTTTTGTGTGTCTTGCTGTTCGCCTTTTCTCCTACAGTGTACAACCCCTTATTAATTTTTCGTTGTTATGGCTGTTTCCCAACTGTCGGCACGCAGAATAACGTAAAAATTAAAAAAAAGGTTAAATGAATTCTAAAAAAAGTGAAGCGATTGGAGCAGAATCGTATAAGTGAAGATGATTAAAGTTTGCTGGTGGAGAGGGGGGGGAGGGGAGAGCAAAATCATGAAGTAAATATAAGGTCCTAATAACCATGAAATATTTTTGGACAATTTATAGAAACTCTCTCTCTTTCTCTCTCTCTCTCACACACACACACACACACACACAACTCCTCTAAGAGACAGCGACATTCCAGTTGTTTGTAAAAGAACTGTTCATTTACATTTTAATTTTAAAAAATAGTCACAGTAAAAAGTCTATCTGTTTCTAGCATTAGGCCCTTATTTCATGGAGTAAAAATTGCACTGTCTTCGAAACGAAGTTCGTGTCACTTCCAATGACATATAGGTTGGTGAATGACCTTTATCCGACCAAAAGACTGTTGTATAATACTGTCCTAAAATTTCATTTAAACTAAGCCGAAGCATAAGAGCCCAGCTCAGTAATTTCTCGGTCTGATTCTGGTCGCAGTGAATACGAGTTTACAATAGTTGCAGATAGCTGCACGCGCGTCACTCCCGCTTAGTTTATTTGGACTGGGTTGCAGGCAGCGAGATACGCAGTTCATGCACTGATGAGGGGCAAGGGAGATAATAGAAATTTTTTTCGGGTAATTTCACCTTTTTTTTTTGAACAGCATAAGCCTCGCGTGACGTGTACCACACCTTAAATGTGATATGGAATATTTTTCTGATGTTACGTTTTTTATGTTCCTCTTAAGCTCTTAGAGACACTATATTACGTGAGTGTACGGTGGTAATATCAGATCTGTTTACTTGATTGCCTATTTTTCTACATTTACAATTGTGAATTTTTTTTACTCTCTCCTCACGTTGAAATAAATTATATAGTTCATTGGTTTAGCTATGCATGTAGGCCTACTTGCAATAGGCCTTCATTCCAATATAAAACATCGGACATAAAAATTAATGGCTACGGCTCAATATGAATAATGTATCCTAAATTGTATCGTTTATCAGGATCGCCGACATAATTATATGCTATATATATATGAGTTGGCACAGGTCAGCCATTTGTGAAATCCTGCCATCGTTAGCCAACTTCACAAATAGCCAACTACACAAAGTCTACTTTACTTTGCTGGTCAGACAGCTTTTAGGAAAGATTGGCTCGGGATTAATATTTGACACACCCAAATGGGGTACTGCCGTCACTGGGTAAAAATCTTCGTCATGAGGACAACCACTGATTTGCTAAAAGAACAGGCATCGATTAGCGATCTCTTAGATTCCTGATGAAACGCACCTTAGTTGGTTGAATCTTTATATAGCCTGATATGTTACAACTGTAGCGCCAACACTGACTTAAAAAGACATGATGTGTAACGAATACCCAAAGTGAGAGTTCCAGTGCTCGAAAAACAACTATCGTGTTGCCGTTAGCAGACATTTCATCGTGGGCAGAAAAGCGGTAGCATCAGTGCTCTGGACTTGTGGGCAGTGAACGACCTTTTAAGCTGTAAAGCTGGAAGTAGGGGTATCAATCTAGACTTAACTACTGTGGTGGCAAAAGTAAATTTCGACAAGACGTTCAAAATGGCTTTTTTCCTAGGTCAATGTCAATTAAGTCTGGTTCGCTTGAGATTTATTAGTAGGGGACTGGTGTTTTTTTTTACCTTGTTTTATTATCATACAATTTCATTTCCTTTATTTCATTTTATTATATCTAATCTTAATTATTTTAACATACTTTGCTGTTCGATTCTATATTGTTTAATATATAAAACTTTTATTCATATTCGTCTTGATGGCAGCGTATTAAACGGAAGATGACTGGGCACTCACTCCATCATACTGATCGCTTTATTATTTTTAATTCAGATCTCCAACTTGCAGTTGCATGGACATCGTATCCGAACTGATGTATCAAAGGACAGAACTGTAGTTCACCATAACTAACGTCGAAGCAGAAAATCAAAGCTCTCCAAAATGCCGAGGACATTTTTAGCTATCTTGGAAAGACTCGGGGAGTTCTTCAGGCGTACTTCCGTACAGCGGGTCCTTGTCCTCGTCGCGGGGTGTCTTGGGATCGCTTTCGCCGGGACGATCTTCGCTTTCAGCTCGTTTCAACTGGCGCTGAAACAGAGATATTCCTTCTCACAATCTACGGGTAAGTGTCACGCTTCTGCTGGACTACAAGTGAATTGAATGAACCGTCCTTGTTTTTTTTCCTTTTAGGCTTTGTTAAAGGCACACAAAGAAAACCAACACGAAATCCCTAACCGTTTACTCTTATGCCATTTTTACAATATAAACGTTATCCTTGTCTTGTGTTGGTACAGTATTAATCCAAATCACCATTATATTCATCAGTCTTTTTTCTACGTAAAATAACACATATCGTAATATTGACAAACCGGAAAACCATCCTTTTCCATGTACGGTTATCTGAAATACACACACATGCACACATATATCGACCATTATCCTAATTTTATGTATTTCAGAGTAATATTGTCATGTGAACGTAAAAGCTTTGAAACTAATTGTTTTCCCAGTAACCTGTTAATACAATTGGTCAAATTTTGAATAGCGTAGATTTATCTGGAACTGCATTAGACTTTAAATGACATTTATTGAGATACCATTAAAGGATTATGCGGTCTTCCTTTTATGTAGGTCCGCCATATTTAGGTCTCGGCCTTACTAGACCTCGGCTCTTCATGATGTGAATGCTCTCTAACACCGTTCATGCCTTTCCTCATTTTAGTTGAAAACATAGCCTCCTTGGGAAACATGGGTATTGCGTTTGGTGTCCTCCCAGGGTATCTGACCGACAAATATGGCGGGAAACTTACGCTGTTTATTGCAATCATCTTACAGTCGGGTGCATACGTGGTGCTGTGGTCTGCGGCTCCTCTCGTGAGTTTCTATAATAGAGAGGCCTGGTTATTACATTTGTATTTCTTCTTCGTGGGTGAGTATGTGTTACTTTTATTATTTGTTCACTGGCTCTTGGTGCTGTCAATATTTCAGTTTTAGAGCATTTGTATATTCAAAAATGTCAACCTGAGTTAAGTGCGTTATTGTAAAAGACGGGGGGGGGGGGTATATTTTTGGGCGACCCGACCGTGGTTAGGGTGGTGGAGGAGTGGAGGGTTATAAAATGATGGCGCTATTAAAATCTCCCCAATAAGTTTGAAGATAACATATCACATTTAATTTGTTTTCGGTGTTACAGGTTTAGGGGGCAGTTTCACATACTTCAGCATCCTCACAATTAATGTTGGAAACTTCCCTCGCCGACACCATGGCAAGGTGATCGGTCTCTTGGATGCCTTCCTCAGTGCAGGGAAAGCTGTGTGTGCCGGTATATATGGTGGCCTCTTCGTCAATGGGCACATTAACGGAGACGAAAGAAAACAAGACCTAGCAGGGTATTTCATAACAATTGCAGTACTGGTTGCAGTAGTGAATACAATATGTCTGCTGACCCAGAAACGCTTTCCACCGGAACCAGAAGTGGATCGGGGTGAAGCAGACGACAGCATTGAGTTGGTGACTCAAAATTCCGAACCTAGTGAAAGCACAAGTTTGACACAAGTCAAACCCCATATAAGCGAGGACGATCAAACGATCTTAGTTTTATTTAAAGACTGGGACTTCTGGTACATGCTGCTCATCGTGACGTTTGGCACATCGGTACAATTAACTATCATTGCAAATTATACACTCTTCCTGCAGTCATTCGGCCATGAAGAGCTTAACGTCGCTTTTACTGTCGCTTCCCCCTTAGTCGGCTGCTTTGCTAAGGCTTTCAGCGGGCTTTTGTCTGACTTTGTGATCAAGGAACTCCCAAGGGAATATTTCGTGCTTATAACAGCCGCGGCACAAACTATTATTTTGGTACTATTCATCTTTTATGGAGATAGTGTACTTATGATGATCTTCCTTGTTATCGGAATCAACATACCCAATGGGGCGTTATGGAGCCTGGCGCCCGTTATAACCGTTGAGATTTTTGGATTGAAGCACCTCGGGAGGAACTGGGGCTTCTTTCAGGCCGGAAGTTGCATTGGTGTTGTCGTGCTTCAAAGGATATATGGCGCCTTATATGATTATTATGGTTATATTGACGCCACGACCGGCGAAACAAAGTGCTTCGGGCGCAAGTGCTTCATGCTCAGCACAACTGTTTCCGCTGTACTCAGCGCATGCTCGGTGCTTCTTCTAATTGGACTTTTGGAACGAAAATACAATGCACTAAGAAAAAGATAATGTTGGATTAAAACTTTAGAGAACATGTCGTTTGTGCAATACGTTTTCATTCTATCATAAATAATTGGCATTTTGTACAAAGTTTTCAAAAGTATATTGGATACTGATATACTGTAGTTTACTATAACTGAAAATAATAAAATATATAGAATAAAATTTGAATTTCCTTTTATACCTAGTAATATGTTAAGTCGAGAACCCAGCTTCAGTTGGACCTATAACAGGGCCTACAGTTCACAAAATAAATAAATAAATAAATAAATAAATAAATAAATAAATAAATCATCTATCGATTAATCTTTGCACATTTGGTTTTATATTGGCCTGTAGGCCTACATAAGGCAATAATCTGAACAGCCGATTCATGGAAGCATTCAAATATAAAATGGCCTGCCAATTAAATTTCTAAAGTGATAATTATAACATTTGAAAACTGGAGATGAAACTTTTAAATGGCATGTCAGGTTTGAAAATATACATATGATATTTATCAGAAATTTTGAAGGCTTATGTACAAACTTACATAATGATGACGTCGGTGGGACGTTCTATTTAAATCTCGCGATGCTGAGATATAACGAGACCAAAATCAAGAACCGGGTTGGGCCTCTGGAAAAGGATCTGGATGTCATAAGAAACGTTAAGAGTATGATACTGATTTTGAAAATGAACATAAGAATCCACCCAAGGAAAATGGGACATTCGCTAATGAAACACCCTGCACTGCTGTACGCCAGTGATTTGACCGTATTAGCCTTACTTTAACTTCAAACACCGGGAGTAACGAATAACGTGATCGATGTACACATAGGACTTTTTAGCACTCACTTCAACCTTTGAGCCCTACAGACTTTTTGTTTCTGCCAACAAGCATAAATTGTGAAGGCTGATTTCATTACATTTATCTTTATTTCCTTTGTAGTTGAAAAAATTGCGAGTTTTCACGTTCTTGATTCATTTCCTTTCACAAGCTGTATAAATTGTGCTAAAGGTTTGTTAATGCACCTGATCTATAATAATGTTTGTAGTTTATAATCAGAAACTGATATGATTATTTTGACATTAAGCGATAAACATAAAAATTTCTGTTTTTGGAGATAAAAAATACCCTTAAATACTTGACATGAATACATAAAGCAGAACACATACATGTCCTTTTTGCTTTGATTAAAATAGATTGCTTTATAGTATATATAAGTACTTTTAGTCGTTAGGACAAAAAGGCATAATTCCAATAAGAACAATCTATTGCACTTTTTGAAACTCGGACCGACCATTCGCCTGTCTCTCAGGGGCGGATTGAGACCGTCTTCTGGATCTTCTGGAAGACGGTCAGATTTTCAAGTTTACATTGACGGGCATCTAATTTTTTCTGTCGGAAGACGGCCAAAAATGTACGATGGATCAACAAAGATCATTTTAAAGACTGTCAGAAAATAGCTCTAAATTCGCCCCTGCTGTCTCTGGCACTGAAAGGTTAATTAAACTCATAAAACGGATGCGGCCCACGTCGTCTCTCTCTTAGGTTAAAAAAATATTACATTTTTGATCATTTTTGCTCGATTTTTCCCCTCCCCGAACCCGTGTGTCTGAACAAAATTTATAAGGCCTGCACAATTCCGAACCTCGTTCTCACATTGCAAATCGTGGCCGCAAAGACACGGGAATATGGAAGTCGGACATAATCAGAATGAGAACGAGGTCAGAGTACAACTCTTCTCATTTTACAACCTAAAAAAAAATTATGACATAAACAAATTTGATGTCATTAATAACCTGACTTTTCCAACATCTTTTAATGCTGCAGTGGTCCAACTAGGCTCCCAGGCGCTACCCCAGCACCAGCTGCGCTGTGTCGTCCCCACATGACGCCTGCGCGAGCAAAGACCTCCCTCCCGTGGCGGACTCAACGGCGTCATTTTGTTGGCAACTGTCGCTATCGGAGGTGACAGGACGTTTTGGGAAAAAGTAAAATTCCTTTCGCAGAGAAGAAGACTGATAGTCCAGTTGGGCACTTTTCCTCGACAGAATGCGGTTTATCTGAAACAGGTTGTAAAGATTTTTTTTAATATCGAATATAATTCAATTTTTATCCCCAAAGCACTTACTATTAAACTCTTGCCTCTTCGTACCTTGCGTTTGATTTTACTGCAAATTTTCAGGCAGTTGACAAGACATATTCAAAGTGACAAATTACAAAAAAAAAAGGTGATTAGTGCGATTTACTACATGCATATTAACATATTAATTCATATCAGACAAAAGAATTGAATGATGGCCCCGTATTTGGCGGAGCAAATTTCCTCCATATCCGTAGCTTTTCGTGGCCTTACTAGAAAGTTGCGCTCTTGCTACATAAAATAATCGCACTGCTATACTAGATCTCAGAAGCTGAATAAACAAAAATAAACCATCAAGGCCCGTTGTTGCAATTGCTCATTCGGTTGAACTCGGGTGCTTCCGTTTCTAACCGATATGTCTCGAGGTTGTGAGTCACACTCGAAACAATAATACCCCTCACTAACCTTGGTTAGCATGGAATTGAGGCTGTCGCTGTGTGCAAACGTACAGAAAACATACACTAGTGCTTCTAAAAACCAAAAATTGGGACTCGTTTCTGTCGATGAAGCTGAAAAAAACAAGGCAGCAAAGCTGTCAAATGTACAGACAAAAACCAGAAAATAAAAACGCAGGAAATAGGATACTGTCAATTCTGATGAACTTATGTATTATGCTTACTGTAACTGCATAGCCAACATCAAATTCTTATTCTGCATAACACTGGATTAGGATGAAAGTAAAATGTGTATCAAGCATCAGACTAAGTTCCCATACCTAGATCAATCTAACAGGATCAATCCAACTCCAAGGGGTTTCTCACTAAATTGCTTTCAGTTTGAGAGTCTTAGGATTCTGGCATGCCAGTTTCAGTAGGCGTGAGAGACAACTAAGCCACTTACATTGATTGCAATTTAGCGAGAATTCCCATGGAGATAGATCGATCCACAGTTAGCGTGATAGGGTCTGGAAATAGTCCCTAAGGTGTCAGGCTGATAAGAGTTAAACTTTGGAAATGCCAGAATGAGGTACAGTGAAAATTACACACACA